TGGAGATAACAACGTTTCCTGAAGATTTTTCTTATTTAAAAAAACATTATTTTATACTGAATATATTTCCTTAATTTTCATATTATTTTATAGGCTCTTGGTTTGTCTGGTCAAAAGCTTCTTGGAGTGCCTATTGTAGTACAGCATACACAAGCTGAGAAAAATCGTATGGGTAATTCAATGCCAAACCTAATGCCTAAGGGACAAACAGGACCCATGCGATTATATGTAGGATCTTTACATTTTAATATCACAGAAGATATGCTTCGTGGGATTTTCGAACCATTTGGAAAGATTGACAACATACAGTTGATTATGGATCCTGAAACAGGGCGCAGCAAGGGTTATGGTTTCTTGACTGTAAGTTTTTATAGCATTGTACATAAATGTTTCTCGTTAAATATATGCATCAAGATATTTATTTATGTAATAATAATTGAATTAAGTTATTATAATTAGTTGACATCTTTAAGATCATTATATTTGCATGGAACTCAAGATTATTATTTTTTTAGTTCAGAAATGCAGACGATGCAAAAAAAGCGTTGGAACAATTGAATGGATTCGAGCTCGCTGGTAGACCTATGAAAGTTGGGAATGTAACAGAACGAACTGATCTGATTCAAGGACCTTCTCTACTCGATACTGATGAATTAGATCGTAGTGGAATTGATCTTGGAGCAACTGGAAGGTACGTAAAGTAATAACAAGAAAAATCTAAAGGAAAAAATAAATATGCGACTAAGGTCACATTTCATTAAAAAATGTGTACAATATTATTTTTAGATTACAACTGATGTTCAAATTGGCGGAAGGTACCGGTCTGGAAATTCCTCCCGCTGCAGCGAACGCTTTAAATATGGCACCAGTAATGGCGCAGCCGCAACCACCACCCCAAGCCGCGCCTCCTATTGCGACACAGTGTTTCATGTTATCCAACATGTTCGATCCGCAAAAGTAAGTCACATATTTCCTTATATCAAATAAATACTTTCTTTGTCGCATATTTGTAGACCTGGTGTTACGTATACCATACTTTCACTAGGGGGAATATATATGCTAAATAAAAAAATGTTATCATAATTCATAGCATATATGCAAGCAGTGATATGCAAAACTAATGATAACATGATAAACTTATTATAAAAGCATCTTTTAAAGCAATAGTTATTACAATAATTATTACAGATGTAAGATTCAAAGTTTTTTTTATGCTGAATTTAATCGAATTTCATTTCTTTGTTTGAATCCACAGTTTGAACCGAATCGAAAAAAATTGATATGGATCGAATCGAATTAAATTGAATTTAGAATTAAAATTATCATTAGAATTAAAAATTAAAAATTAATGAACAATTATTATAAATAATATTTCGTAATTTGCTGAAAAGCAGTGATTACGTGATTTAAGTTGACTCCTAGTATTCAAATAAATCCAATTTTTAGCGTCATGCTAAGCATCAAATTAAAACTATGTAATCACGCTGACGTTATTTTTCAGCGTCTCGTGAAATGATACCTTCAATATTCAGCTATGAAAAATAGACTTAATAACACCTTTTATTTCAATAATATGAGTATCTCATTTTAGTTATTAGCAGTATATATGATTTTAATACATATGATTTGTATTCGACTTTTTTAAATTTGAAATTTTCGGACAATTTAGATTTGAATCGTAGCGATTCAAATCCGAATCAAATCTTATTTGGTTCGATTCGATTCATATTCAAGTAGTTCGCACATCTTCATTAATCATCACATATTAATCTTATTAATTAAACAATTTAATTAATAAGCTATTTAATTATATATGCTCTAATAATATTTAAATTAAAAAGTCGTTTAATCAATTGTAATATAATAAATCATATTTCGTAAGAATATCCTGCATTGACTTTTAAAGGTTTTTTAATTTAAATCTTAATTAAAAATATTGTTCCTAACAGAGTTTAAAAAAAATTTTCTTACAATTGTAATTGAAATAAATCAGAAATTGTAATTTGTGACGTTATTGTTTCTAGTGAGACGAATCCTAACTGGGCGAAAGAGATCCGCGACGATGTGATTGAGGAATGTAACAAGCACGGTGGCGTTCTGCACGTATACGTGGACCAAGCATCACCACAAGGCAACGTTTATGTAAAGTGTCCGTCAATCGCGACTGCTGTGGCGGCTGTGAACTCGCTGCACGGTCGATGGTTTGCCGGCCGCGTTATAACCGCAGCTTATGTGCCGGTAGTGAATTATCACTCGTTATTTCCCGATGCAATGACCGCGTTACAATTATTGGTGCCGAGCGCGCCGCGAAGAGGAATGTGATGACCTTGAACGAGCAAGCGAGCGAGTGAGCAACAATCGTCGTCTACTAATGTGTAAAATCCTTGCATAATATTGCATTCTTTTCTCTTATGTACTTTTCTTGCTGTCTGATGGAATCGCATTTTTAATATAAATCCGTTAATAAGAAAGGATGCACCCTGAACAACAGGTTTCAATGATTTGTCACTTGTCACGATTCATGAATTCATTATAGTATTATAAACGTACGAAGTTCGATTCGTTTCGCAGCAAATGTATCGTTCGCAGGAGTTTTGATGGTATCAACATTTGTGATGGTCGAAAATTGTACGAACTTGTTTGACATCTTGCATTTGGCTGTTCAGACACATGTGAATTAAAGAATTTATGGACCCCAAAATATTTGATTTTTAAGTCGCGTTGTATATATATTTATATTATTTCATATTTTTTTATTTAGTTTCTCCATGTACGAAGTAATGTAATATGAAACAAATACTGATTGTTCTGATTTATTTTTTTGTATTTATATTGTAATGAATGTATATTATAAAAAAATGACAAAATTAATGTTTTTTTTTTGTTTTGAAAGGGGCACAAATTTTGAAATCATTTTCGCCAAAAAAATTTACTTTAAGATATATCGCGAAATGGCTAAATGACTTGTGACTAAAAGGCACAAGAAAATTAAATTGGATTGTATTAACAATCAATAAAATAACTTTGTTTTTGTATGGGAACAATCGTGTTTGTTTTTTCAGTTACAGACACCTGAGTGTTCATTGGCGCGGCACAATGTTTCATTTTATGTATATCAATGTGTTATATTCGCGATTGAAATAGCGTAACGTATTTTTAAATGTTTTAATGAGATATTCAGTCGATCATTTATAATAGTCACTTTGAATGAAGAAGGGGAAAGAGTATGCACCTAATCCTTTTATTCCTAATATAGTTTACGTATTAAGTTTATAATATATAAGACACTTAAATATTAAAGAATAAAAATATCTTGTCAATTTTTTATCACTTAATTAATTTTATCTAATTTCTATTACTATTTTTTTGTTTTATATTCTTTCTAACTTATATTTACAACTTCAATATTAAATTGAAAGAAAAAATATATGTAATTTGAATTTCTATTTTCGATTTATTTAAGAGTATAAAAAATAATTCCCATAATAATGTGTTATTATATGCTTATATTTAGGAAGGAAAGGATTAAGGTATGTTTGTAATGGTTATAACACAACTTAGAGAATTACTTTAGATACACTTTAGATTTGTTACATTTATACGGAAGCAGAAGCAAAGTGTGTGATAAAAAAGGAGGTCTGCAGCTATTAGAGAAATTTTCTATTCGGATAGCTATTTCACGATAAACTCTTCTACAATTTATATGATATTGATAGAATAAGACACGATTAGCATTTTAACAATGCAGTTGTGTTATGTGATTATATAAAATATGTAATTCTCACACTATAAAATTTTACTCTCTTCAACCGATAAAATACAATAAAATTTTTAGTGTCGAGATATTCTACATCAGTTATTGTACCGAAAAATGGACCAATTAAAGTAGATAAATTTCATTTTTCAAACCGTAGATAAATTGGGTGCTCTTATATTAAGAGACGTTGAAGTTGAAGTGAACATATAATTAAGTTATATAAAATAAAATGATTAATTAAAAAATAAAAGTATAAAATTTTGCATAAACATTCTTATTTGCATTTATATAATTATTATTTATATACTTCGAATTATTAAATAATTACATTGAAATCTAAGACTGTACAAGAAATATCAGAATTTGGATCTTCGATATTTTGAAATAAGATTATTTAATTCGCAGTTATAAAAATTTATGATTAAATTTATTATTTTATTTACTACACTATCATAATATTTATTATAATATTATAATTGGTTATTAAATAATTTATGATATGTTCTTGCTTTTTCTTAATTAAATTAGAAATGAGAAAACTATTTATAGATTTTACAAGCTTGCAATTTAGAATAATTATGAAAGTTAAATAATCATCATTATTATGGGTCTATACAAAATGTTTCATGTATAAAGCAATGTAACAATCACAATTTTCGAATCTTATGATAGAAAAGAAAAAAAAAAATATATATATATAAAGAAGATAATAATTATATCAATAAATACCTATAAAAATAAACTAATTTTTTCTATTTTCTATGTATATTATTAGATTTCTTTTTATGTGAAACGCTTTGTAATTTGGAGTTCAGCTATAGATTATAGAATTTTTATTTATACGTAATTGTAGACCGATAAAAAGGCAAATATAAAAATTTCGATTTTTCTCTTGAAATAGAAGATACGAAAACGATTTTGCATATTAAGACAGAAAATTTGTGGTTCAAATTTGAAATTCTTCATTATCTGCAGACCTTTACGAGCCGAGCCGTCGAAGAAGGTAACAATCTGTATATAAGTTTTGTAAATTAACTCTATAGTTGTAGGCATAAGTGACGTCATTTTTCTGTATTATTGAAATATGATGTATACTTTGATGACCATAAATGAAATAATGTGCACTTGAAGGATTTGTTTTAAACTATAAAAACTTGGGTTGTATTTCTGATATATATTTCTTTTTATCAACAATCGTATTCTTTATGATTTGTTTCGTATCTTAAAACAATTTTTTGTTATTTGTTAATTGATATTAATCAACTGAACAAAGTTAATAAAATATAAAATTACGTAGCATGTATTTATTGCGGAAATCTAATTATTTTACTATTTTTTCTATTTCTCAAGATTATATGATTTTCTGATATTACAATTTTATGTACAAAGTGTCCCTGTAAGTTTTTGCCAAGCGCTTTTGTGTAGATAGAGCGGACTAAATTGAGTCAAAAAGTCATCTACCATTTTACAATTTTCGCGATGGTTAACGAAATATTAACTATGAGATATTAATTTTAGTGATTAAAAAAAATTGCTGAATATTGGTTTTTAAAAATTTTTTACTCAAATACTATTAACTTTACAGAAAAACTGCAAAAGACAAAAATTGTTTATTTTCTTTTCATAAAGTTCTGAGAATGTTTTCAGAATTTTTTAATACCGTATTTTCTCATGTTGATAAGAGTAAGAAAATGCAATACTAAAAAGTTGATAAATTCTGAAAAAAATTCTTAGAGTTCTATGAGAAGAAAATAAATAATTTTTGTCTTGCAGTTTTTCTGTAAAGTTAAAAATTAAGTATTTAAGTAAAAAATTATTGAATACCAATATTCAACAATTTTTAATAATTAATATTTTGTTATCTATTGCAAAAATTGCAAAATGGTAGAGGACTTTTTGACTTAGTTTAATCCGCTCTATCTACATAAAAGCGTTTGGCAAAAACTTACGGGACCTGTACACTTACGGATCTTGTATATACATATATTGTATATAAACATAGAGAAACCATGAGAAACCATAAGAAAGGACATGAGGGCTTTTTTCCTATAACCGCAAATGTCCCTGCGTACTACTACTCTCTGAAGAAGTGAATGTCAACTACACAATATCTATTTTTTTGCCCCTGGATGGAGATAGCTTCTTTTGCCTACAAATCGATTGCCTATAGTGATTGCGTTCAAAAACGTCGCTCGGATGCCTCCGATGCCTCGGATTCATCATCTGTCTGTTTAACATTTAAGTAAGGACAGATAATTCCGAAGCATCGGAGATATTCGAGTGACGTTTCCAAACGTAAATTTTGTATACAAAATATCTTATAAGCAAAAATGTTGTAAAAATGTATAAGCATGAATTTATGTATTTTATACATGCTTTTTATTAAAAAGATTTAAGTCTATTTTTTGTATTGTATTATATTTTATTGTATTGTATCTGATTATTTTGTATATTATAATTCTTTCTTTATGTTCTTTTTATTTTGGTATCGAATAGCGCGCGCGCGCGCGCGCACAAACACACACACACACACACACACACAAAATCATATATAATATATGATAAAAAAAGTAGGTGATCTAAATATTGTAACAAAATTTTCTTTTTATGTTTTTTTTTTAACTTCAGATATACAGTATAAATTAATCTGACAATATACGAAAAACATATTCATTTTTAAATAATGAAAGACGGAATAAAAACATCAGATATTGTAGAATTATTCAAGTCTCGAAACAGCGCTTAAAAATAATTAGTTTCACAATGATGCGAGAGGAGAAATTTTACGTAAACACTTGATGATGACTACAAACACTTTTGTTTGTATATTTTCTTACATATGTGAATGTAGACAGATTTAATGATTACATGTTCAATTATATACGAGATATTTTAGAGATATATCATTTAATAATTTTCACAATTTATTATCCTTTCAATTTTAAATCAGCACATAAAGATATATGATCACTGGGAAACACCACGGACGGCAAACCTGTGTGAAGAGTAAGCTCTTCTTTACTGGGCATCGGAACCACTTGTTCTACTTCAAACTTATCTCTCTCATAAAATATGTAGTCTAGACAGGCAGAGAATTCCGGCGTATAGTTTGTATATTCCGGCACGCCACAAGCGCTAGACATGCAAAGGTCCTGTGTTAAGGATATGTTTTTTATAGCTTCCTCGTAATCTAAAAAAAAAGGATCACAATTTTTCTTCTCATTTCATGAGACGTACTGATTTTGATCGCATGATATTGAATAATAAAATAAAACGAAAATAAAAGACAACGAAATTAGAAAGAAACCCAAGCTTTCATAAACTGATAGTAAATTAAAGAAAGTCACTCACTACTTTTCCAGTCTTCGCAGGTTTCTGAAACGTAATTCTTTGTTAACAATTGATAAATGCCGCATTCCGGCACACTGTTAAAGTCCCCACAAAATATCACACTTACGTTACATTCGGGATTCTGTCAATATGCATAGCAGTTAGTAAATTGTAATATAATAGAGACTTTTTAATAAGATATATATGATTTGCGAAAGTGTCAAAATAATATTTCTAAACATTTTTCTGAATATATCTATGAATGTAAAAGATTTTTGTTGGAGAAAAATCTACCTCTTCCTGTATGCTTTTCGTGACATCGTGTAGGTACGTAATTGCATAATATCCTTGCAACAAACGTATATGATCCGCATCAGGTTTAAAGTATAAATGTGTGTTGCCGATGACCAAGATTTCAGATTGGTTCTCTTTCGATCGTAACGTTGTTACCTAAATCATTGCTAACGTTTATCCAATGAGTATAATATATCTACTTAAAATCCTAATTATATCATACGTAATTACCTGAATGGTGGTATTTCTACTCAAAAATCTCTCCTTCATTTTGTCATTGTCGATTTTAGACCAGATGGCAGCAAATTTAGGTAAATCAATATTTTGAGCCATTATGCTGCGTTCAAATCCTATTTTTTCGAATCTATCTTGATTGAAAAATGTGGCGAGACCTTCACTAATTTCATTTTTTGTAACGAACACACCATCGTAATTCAGCATGTATAAAGAAGGTAACAAATCGTATTCGTATATATTTTTATCTACCTCTTGCAAGCAAATTATATCACTATTAAAACCTATAATAAATTCATTAATATTAAAATTACGAAAATGATTATAAATTGTTGCTATTGCTTGTTATTAAATAATCTAATAACATTTTGTTTTAATATTAAAAAATTTTGGAAAGCTACAAAGTTTTGTGAACAATATGTAACAATATGTAACTATTGTAACTAATATTTAAATTTATTAATTTATTTTATTATTAATTTTATTTTTTTTTATAAAAATAATTTAAAATATTTTGCGTTTTTAATAAAACGATTTAAATAATTCATATAGATTATATTATCACTCACCTATTATTTCTTTAAGTATCAACTGTTTTCTGTAATCCATATCTAACGCATACTGTGGACAGTATGGAAATAATACATCTTTAGAAAAATCAGAATCGGCATAGGTATCTGCCAGTATATTATAACTTATTACTCTGAAACTTTTTTTCCTTATTTAATATACAGTTTGCAAGTAAAATACTTAGTATATGTCATATTAATGTATGTTATATTACGTATAATACAGATTCTTTCAATACTTTATTCTTCCAAATTTATCTTTTACGAGTACCATACCTCCTATCCGATAATTTATGTTTTGTAAACTGATGTCGAATATCGAAAGGACATTCTCCAGGACCGGCTTCCACGACATTTTTTGACTGTATTTCCATCCTAGAGCCTGAATCTGACTCATTCCGAGGTTCACAGCTAATTTTCAAATGATGACCAATATCAGTCACGCTGGGTACATATAGATATCCATTACCTACATGTATCCATGAATTTGGTTTATTAACAGAATCGTTTCTGTACCAGTCAAATATCGATTGCTTCGTGTTAGTATACAGTGATTCAAACTTGGATGGATAAATCGGAAAACCTGCCAATATGCATGATGGTAACGAAATTTTGATGATATAAGGTGCATTTCGTTTCACTAAAAAGGTTGTCTCAAAAATGACCAGTTTTAGCTCTGCAGAATCCTGCAAAAGGCTTTTACACAATGTATCACCATCCACTTTGACATCATTTTTGAGAAGCATGATTTTTCCAGTATTCACATTGTCTTTTGTCAAATCAAGTACCTCACAAGCAGCATTCTTCTTCTTTTTTCTTTGTATCTACAGAAAACAAATGTTATTTCTCTCAGATATTTCTTTTTTAAAGTTTATCTCTGGAAATACTAATTCTTTAGATTTCAATACCTAATTTGTTTAAAAATTGTATGAAAAATTCTATTTTGGATTTTTGTTTAGAAAAATTTTTGTGTAGTATAATACTTATAGTTATTCTATATTAAAAATAATATTGTAATATAACGATAAATGGAAATCTAATAACAAGGAAAAGGAAAAGAAGATAAGAAGAAAACTCACTTTTTTGTTTACAATCTTGCAAACGTTGGTGTCAACCCTTTTGAGGAAATTGCTCACACTTTCCGTAGTTTGTCTGGAAAAGTTGAACTGACGGTCGATCTTCGTCATCTCGTCCACATAGCGAAATGAGATGTCAAATGTATCGTTGCCTTTATCGTAACGGAGAAATGCCTCGTTCATCTTTAGTATCTGTTTCGCATGAAAGTGCTTACTGTGATACGACGTAAGGATTGGTGAAATTAGGTGAATTCTGTGCACAAGCAATTTAGCGAATGTATTTCGCATTATAACCAATTGTGATTCATTCGGCCTGGAAATATCATAAAGAGATTTTTGGGACATAAAATTAGACACTAAAAAAATATTTTAAATTAAATTAAACTAAATTATTTAAAAGAAATCAGAGCGTGCCTAAAGTAGTTCAGGAAAATGTGTTTGAGGTTATAAGTACCTTCGCGGTGTTCTATACGTGCGATAACCATGTAGATAAATCTAACGTAACTTCGACGAAGATACTGCCCTGTTACATTTCGGACATTTCAGAACAATTTTTGAGATTTATCGACGACATGGTAATCAGCTGCGTCGATCGACCGGGTATTACAAGTCAGTAAAGTCAATTTTGTATCGATAGATGTTTGTAAAGATTATGTCAATTTTGTAAGTTAGATGGCGTTGTAAGCACCATTATTGTAAAGTCACTAAATAAAGTACCGCGAACTGCCGTCATTTTGGTTTCATGACGCGTTATTTAAAATTTATGTATGACTGTTTTATATTATAAGGGGAAATAAAATCTCACAGATAAAAAATTATATCTCACAGATTACAGCCCTTTTCAACAATGTTTTTTTTGTCAATTAATTGAAGCTATTCTGTCTATCGCCTGTTGACACGCGAAATAAATGAAAGCCTTTTTTGCTGCGATTTTTGCAATTCTCAATACAGCAACTGGGCATTTTCGACGTTTTCTAATCAGTTTTAAATTTACATAAACATATACAAAGTTGTAACAGAATCAGATTAACACTTAATGCCTCAGTAAACAAGAATGGATTAAAATGGATTGACATTTTTTTCTATAATCCGAATGCGTATTTTAAATAACGAATACTTTTTTTTTTTATTTAATTGGATTCAATTGGATTCAATTAGATTCAATTAGATGCAATTGGATTGAAAAATTGCATTTCCTATTCAAAATTGAAATGAACAGTATTCACAATGCACAGAAAAAGCTAATATTATTTTTAGATTGAAAGGCATAGAGATATGCTCTATGTAATTCCTAGAAATGAATAAAAATGCATTCAAGATTGAAAAGCATTTATATTAATATTCGTGAATCAATATTTCTGAAAATCTGAATCCATTTCAATTCATTTCAATCCATTCTCGTTTGCTGGGATGTGTAGTTTCTCTTTGGTAGGAAGTTACATGAAATGCATTATCTGAACTATTCGATGCTATTTTGGCTCCAAATGTTAATTCAGTGAATTTTCCTATCACGGTACTTTGTTATCTGACTTTACATTATTGAATTTTCTGGATAATAAAATTAAAAAAATAATATCGAGACTCTACATTATTATTAGATTTTCCAATTCTAAATTTTTTAGTTCTAAATTTTTTGTTAATATATCTAATTAATTTATAAACTCTTCTCTGACAGGATGGGAAGGATAGGTAAGAATAGCTAAAAATTAGACATATGAGGTCTAAAGTATTTTTTTTAATAAAAAAAATCCTTTTTCTTAAAGTAATTAAAAAGTTTATGACAAATAATCAAAAAATTGCAAAAAAATTAATGTTATGTACATTTTTGAAATTGTACTGATAGAATTGGCTGTTTACCAGGACATCATGGAATTTTTTAATTAAACATTTAAAACTGATATATCTCTGTTTCATATATAATTGGATTATATTTAGAATACAAGTTCTTATCAAAATACATTTTATTAGTATATTATATGTTAATGTATTTTTCATTAATTAAAAAAATTAATGCTGAATGTTAAATTTTGCGTTTCTATATTTGTATATTTTAATAAAAAAATATTAGATCTGTATGATCAATTAACTAATACTTAATAATGTTTATTTTATTAATGGATAACAAAAGAAGTTACAAAAGATCTTCTATTTCTTAATAGGAAGGAAGAAAATAATATCACAGATTTAAATTTTATTAAATTGCTGTGAATTAAAGTGATGTAAAAAGTAAAAAAAAAGATATAAAAAAAATTTGAATAAAGCTTTGTGTCAAGTTATATTAACAAACTTTTTGTTTGAGAATATTTTTATTTTCCTAAGAAATTGTACTCTATATAATTAATTCCCACGAAATTATATTCTATAATTAATTTCAATTTTATATATCAAGTGAATAATATAATTTATTTATTTGTTTCCTAATTTTTTTTCTTATGTTTTTTTTTCTTTTGTATCTTAGCTATTTTTTAATTGTGTTTCTTCACGCTTTTCCGATTTTGCTTCCGCATTTTTTTCTGATTTTGTTTCTTCACGTTCTTCCGATTTCGTTTCTTCACATTCTGATTTGATTTCCTTATATTCTTCTGATTTCGTTTCTTCGCGTCCTTCTGATTTCGCTTCTTCGACTTGTTCTGATTTCGTTTCTTTGTATTCTGCTTGAGGGTTTTCTTTCTCGGACTTTTCTGATTTTGTTTCTTCACAATTCTCTGATTTTATTTCTTCACAATTCTGTGACTTTGTATCTTCACGATTTTCTATTTTTATTTCTTCGCAATTCTCCGATTTTGTTTCTTCACGATTCTCTGATTTTATTTCTTCGCAATTCTTTTCTGATTTTGTTTCCTCTGGCTTTTCTAAGTTTGTTTCTTTATGATTCTTTGAATTTGTTTCCTCCTGTTTCTCAGATTTTGTCTCTTCGCATTTTTTAAATTTTGTATCGCTATGTTTTGCAAATATTGTCTCTTCAGTTTTAAGATTCTCGTCAGATTTCTTTTTAAACTCTTCTCTCTTTTTATCTTTCAATCGCTCTTTTCTTGTTGAATATTTAACAGTCACACATGTTGGTACTTTTCTCTTAACCATCTGTAAATTTTCTAATTTAATAATCACACTGTCAATAATTTTATAATAATTACCTTTAATTAATTTACCTTACGGAGTAATATCTTTTTGCTTATAATTTTTTTATCAGTTACAGTCTTATCCCAAGCTAGTTTTTCCTGCCACCAAATTCGTTGATATTCATTTGAGAGTAGTTGTTCTATGCAAGGTCGTTTCTCTCTATATGCACGCAAATTGCAAATAAAAATATTATTTATAAGTGTATTATATTAATATAATGTATTATTAATATAGTATATTAGATTTAATATGCGTAACAAATAACATTAAAATTATACAAAAATTAATATAAGAGAATATATGTATAAATATAATAATAAATTATCCATCTGATTATATGTACATACATTGTCTATATCATTTAATTATATGGAAAAAAAATGAGATTTCAAGTTGAAAGACAATTTTTAGGTTCTTCTGATCGCCATTAGGTGTGATAATTATAATTCATACTTTTCATAGGACGGTATGAACGCTCTCGTTGTTGTATAGCTCGAAGACGCAATGTTGTCCGGTATTTTGCATGGTACTGCAGGCGTCCATGCCTTGAAACGTAAGTTCGTTGCATATCCGTTCATTTGGATGACCCGAGGGTGCCTTTGAATATATCCTGCATCGGTTATTAACGGTTCGCCGCGATTTTTTTTCAGATTTGGCGAGTTCTCACGAAGGTTATCGCGAGCCTGACAAATGCATGGCGAATACCGACTGCTAAGACTGAATAACGAAGGAGGCTCTGGAGTGACTTGGAATGACTGGAATGTGTTTTTCGATGAAATATTCGATGAGATCACCGACTAATAGTTATTTATCTGTTTACATTCTTTCCTAAAAACAAGACGAGCGTAATAAATAATATATTACAAAATATAAATATTTTATAACAACAATGATATATTACTATCTAATATTATTCGATATTGAAAAAAATAGAAGAAAAAATAGATATTGAAGAAAAATTCTTAGATACTGAAATGATATAATTCAGTTAGAAAGAAATCTAATATTATTTGTGTCACATGAAATTTTCTACATTCTTGTATATTTTACATTTTCTTTTTATTAGTAAAATTTGTATTATTTTATGTTCAAAAACATAGAATATATTTTCTAATATAAGACATACATATAAAGAAATAATTTTTTGCAATATTATATTTTAGAAATGTTGAAACTTTATGTTTGCAATTTTTTATTATGGCATGAAATAGTTTTCATTTTCTATTTGTTTAAAAAAAAGTACGTTATGTCAGTAGCCACAAACTTTATTTTTGTTTCTTTTGAATACACAAGTAAGAGATAAAGCCTGTAACGGTCAAAACTGGATCTTAATCCTTAAATATTTCCATGTGAATTTATATATCAGATGTGTTCGGAGAGATGCTATTAGTGCTATCTATGTCATTCTATCTTCATCGTTTATTAAACGTAAAACATTGGATAAAATGACTAAAAAACGCTAATAGCATCTTCCTAAATGCATCTTATATATGTAGTTATTTGAATTACGCGCCAAATTAATTTTTTGGACTTAGAAACGCAATTGAACTAACAATAAGTACTGTAATAATACCACAGATTAAATTGACAAACAATTTAATAATTTGATGCTCAATTAGGCATCCTATTATGTGTATTCACATTATACTCTTAACAAATCGGTTATTTTTATTTCTTTTCCATAATTGGTTTTATTTTATGCATTTGATATATATAAAAGTTCCACATAAAATCTAAAGAGAAGATGAGAAAATATTATTATCCATAAATGAGAATAATTAATTTGTTTTATATGCATCAACATTAAACTGTAAAGAATATGTAATGATTTTTATACCTTTGATAAATCGATACTGATAAGATTGAAAATTTCTTGTTAATAGATAAAATTATTATTGTTTACGATACGCATTACACTTGTCGAGACAAATTTGAGACGAGTATAATTTTGATATCTTTTTAAAGTTAAATAAAGTTAAATAAAGTAATACAATGTTATTACTAAACACTTTTGGTATCGATATTTCAATGATCTTTGACAATTTCTCACGATACAACCTAAGCATATAATAAGAAAACTATTTAGCATCACTAAGGGAAAAAAGTAACAACGAAATTTGACTTTACATATTTATTTATAAGTTGGAAATATTCTTTTAATTATTAAATAAGATACCTAATTTAACTTAGAATTAAAATTTTATTGAGAAACGATGTTCATTTATGAGAAATAGACAATAAATAGACATAATATGGATATTTTTATATAATATGATTCTTCTAATTATATTCTGCGTATAAAAGTATTAAGGTAAAGATATCCAGAAAAAACCAATATGAGAGAGAGATATTTTATATTTGGTTCTGGCATGTATTGACATATTAAATATTTTGTAAACTATTAACTTTTTGATAATCGTACACTGAGAGAAAAATGTTTTGTATTTGTAACTATAATTATATATTACTATAATTATGATTATTATTATGATTGTTATAATAATAATAATAACAACAACAGTAACTATGTATATAGTTGGCAATCTTAAATGATTATAATTATGACTATTACAGTTATTATAACCACAAAATAGTTGGAATTACCATAAAAATGATTCAAGTGACTATAATTTTATAGTTATATTTTGGGATAAAAAATATGGTTGTCCAAAAATATAATTATAAAATTATAGTCACTTGAATCATTTTTATGGTATTCAACTATATATATTTGTTGCTAGAACTATATACATAGTTACTGTTATTATTAATTATAGCAGTAATAATCATAATTATAGTAATATATAATTACAGTTACAAATACCAAACATTTTTCTCTCAATGTACCTTAATATTTTTATGAACAAAAATAATAAGATCAATTAATTGGTGTAAAAAAAAACAGTCTATTTAAAAGATTATCCATTTTACTTACATATTTCTTTTAAACCAACTATATGCGTATAATATTTACTATTTAGTATTTTATATGCTAATTGCAGATTATCTGTATACATATACATTTCTGTATGTGCAGATATTCGGTAAGCTCCTTCATATGATTTTCCCACCATCATTACAAACTTGTTCAAATAATTAACTTGCACGATTCGACGGCACGATAAAATTCGAAAAGAAGTTCACCACAGGTTTCACTTCCCGTTGATCTTTTTTCCTTTTTTTTCGAATTTCTAACTGGTGATACTTGCGCGTTGATGTTATCACGCTAATTATAGAAATACTTGTCAAGCGTATTAGTCGCTGTAATACACGAGTTCGATCATTTCAAGTTGCGTGCGATGACCGTGAATACCGATTATTAATCTCGTGGTTAAATGCCTTCACGCATGAGCATACGCAAACGGAACCCACTTACCCCATGAATTAATGTCCTTTTATTAGGGGTTAGTTAATGCCGCAGGGTTAGTTAATTTTTCATTCAATGTGTCACCTCATCGACTTAATTTGTAAGCACAACGTGATGTAATTCCAGCACTCATTTCGTAATGCCGGATAAATCAGAGCAATCATATGACATTTTTTGCTGATAATGAAATTTAGTCATTCATTAATCAGATTGCGTAAACAGTTGCCACATACACAGAGTTTATGAAACGTAAGAATATATTTGGATATTTTATTAAGAATAATATCTGAATTAAAAAAAAAACGAAATCAATATACTTTAAATGATGTTTCGGGAGACAAATATATTTGTATTATTAAGCAATCAAATAAGAAATCATTAATATGTGTATGTATAATCAGTAAAAAGATCATGTATCAATGAAGAAGTCAATATCTGCGTAATTATGCATCAAGTAAATTATGATTGAAGGAAGTAAAAGTTTCTTTGATCATGTTCGAGGAAGTTAATCGATTAAATTGTCCGCATTAATCTGATTAGCATTGCAAATCGTCAATCCTTGATCGTCTAAATAACACGTTTCAATCACATAAATCTTGGCATATAATTTTCACCATTTTGCTGTTACATAATCGTAGCTGTTTCGTCGCGAGAAAGTCCGCGAAATCTCACGAAAGACGAAACTGAAAGTGGACTTGTGTCGAAAAACGAAGGGACGCGGATAAATGTAATCAATTGATATAATCGCGAAGGACAGTCGTATTCATGCTAATGAATTTTTTTCCGCTCCGCATCGATACTAATCGCAGCTATATGCATATTACGTTGCGTGTGATATACTGCGTATACTTTCATTAAGTTGTATGGCCAAGCCACACCTGTGCGAACCAGGGACGATCCTCGAGGACGATGTTTTTAGCCGGTTACCCGAATTCCGCAAATCGAATCCGGTTATATTCTGGGAAAGAGAAAGAGATGTTCAATCTCAGGCTTAATTGTCGTGACAGTGTTCACGATGTTCTTTACCGTTAATGTTTTATTTTAATCTCTACAATTATCTCTTTTTTTAGTAGCCATAATTATCTTTCCCAAATTATACCTTATTATTACTTCATTTTTTTCCTTTTTACATTATTCGCGCTTAATTCTTATCGCAACAAGTATATTTTTGTTACGTTTATGTAATTGAGATAATCACTTTTTACAATAATTTAGCAATTATGCAATTACTTTTTTATGATACAAAAATAATAATAATA